GAACTGGAAAAGTTACAGAACCTCCCAATCCCATTCCTGATCCCATTCCAGATCCCATTCCCGATCCCATTCCCAATCCCATTCCCAATCCTATTCCTGATCCCATTCTGATCCCATTCCCATTCCCATTCCTGATCCACTTCCCACCACCTGGATGCAGTCTGTCTTCCTAAAAAAGAACCAAAAATGGACAAAAAAACCAAAAAAAAATTCACTAAAACCATAGAAATTGCAAAAAATTGTTGGGTTTTCATTGGAAAAAATGAATATTTCTATGGTAAAAAGTCCAAATTTTTGGGGAATTTTCATGGGTTTTTTGTATGGCAAGATTCCCAGGATTTGTGCAAGCCCCAGGTGTGATCCTGAGCACCTCCCACACCCACAGAGCTGGAAAAGCTACAGAAGCCCCCACAGAAGCGGGATGGAGCAGGATCCCGATCCCATTCCTGATCCCATTCCTGATCCCGTTCACAATCCCATTCCCGATCTCATTCCCACCACCTGCATGCCACATCTCCTCCTAGAAAAGAACCAAAAATCCAGAAAAAAGGAATTGACTAAAACCACAGAAATTACAAAAACTTGTTGGGCTTTCATTGGGAAAATGGGGTTTTTTTAATGGTAAAAGTTCCATACTTTATGGTAAAATCTCCACGTTTTTGTAGGTTTTTTTGATGGAAAAGGATTTGGGCATTCCCAGGATTTGTGCAAGCTCCAGGTGTGATCCTGAGCACATCCCACACCCACAGTGCTGGAAAAGCTGTGGAAGATCCCACTGAAGTAGGATGGAGCAGAATCCTGATCCCATTCCCAGTCCCATTCCCGACCCCATTCCCCATCCCATTCCTGATCCCATTCCCGACCCCAATCCTGATCCCATTCCCAGCCCCATTCCTGATCCCATTCCCATTCCCATTCCCAATCCTATTCCCAATCCACTTCCCACCACCTGGATACCGTCTGTCCTCCTAAAAAAGAACCAAAAACGGATAAAAAACAGAACAAAAAATTTCACTAAAACCACAGAAATTACAAAAACTTGTTGGGTTTTTAAGTGAAAAAAATTATTTCTTTTTATCATAAAAACTTCACATTTTTGGAGAATTTTTTGTGGTTTTTTTGGATGCCAAGATTCCCGGAATTTGTGCAAGCTCCAGGTGTGATCCTGAGTGCATCCCACACCTGGAACTGGAAAAGTTACAGAAACTCCCCTGGAACTGGGATGGAGCGGGATCCCACCACCATTCCCGATCCCATTCTGATCCCATTCCTGACTCCATTCCCAGCCCCATTCCCGATCCCATTCTTGATCCCATTCCCACCACCTGGATGTTGCGTCTCCTCCTGGAAAAGAACACAAAACCTGGCCAAAAGAAAGGAAAAAAAAAAAAACACTAAAACCAGAGAAATTTAAAAAAAAATGTTGTGTTTTTAAGTGGAAAAAACCAATTTTTTGATGGTAAAAACTCCACGTTTTTGGGAACTTTTTGTGGGTTTTTTGGATGGAAAAGATTCCCAGGATTTGTGCGAACTTCCAGGTGTGATCCTGAGCGCATCCCACACCTGGAACTGGAAAAGTTACAGAACCTCCCACGGAACTGGGATGGAGCGGGATCCCGATCCCATTCCCGATCCCATTCCCGGCCCCATTCCCAGCCCCATTCCCTATCCCATTCCCTATCCTATTCTCGCCACCTGGATGTTACATCTCCTCCTAGAAAAGAACCAAAAACCCAGCAAAAAACAAATAAAAAATTTGACTAACACCAGAAAAATTACAAAAAAATGTTGGGTTTTTAAGTGGAAAAAATGGGGGGTTTTTATGGTAAAAATTCCATATTTCTATGGTAAAATCTCCACATTTTGTGGGTTTTGGGATGGAAAACATTCCCTGGATTTGTGCAAGCTCCAGGTGTGATCCTGAGCACATCCCACACCCACAGAGCTGGAAAAGCAATGGAAGCCCCCACTGAAGTAGGATGGAATAGGATCCCACCACCATTCCTGATCCCATTCCCGACCCCATTCCCAGCCCCATTCCCGACCCCATTCCCAGCCCCATTCCCAGCCCCATTCCCATTCCCAGCCCCATTCCCGCTCCCACCTGGGTGCCGCATCTCCTCCTGGGCGCGGATGTCGGCGGCGTGGAGGCAGCTGGGGTTCCTCCAGGCCCAGTCGGCCAGCGCCGAGATGTTGTTGATCTGCGCCTGGATGTCGTAGAGCAGCGTGGCCTGGATGTGCTGCAGCGTGCTGGATTCCCGGGAATGCTGCTCCAGGTCCTGCAGCCTCTGGAGCAGGCTCTGGTTCCGCCCTGCCGCCTCCTCCTGCTGTGAGGGAGGGGGGAAAAAAAACCGGGAAAAATGGGATTGGGAATGATGGCGAGGTGGTGGGAGTGGTGGGTCAAAGATCCCAAGGGTTGGGGTTGGAATTCTCGTGATTTGGGTTGGAATTTTCATGCTTGGGGTTGGAATTTTCATGCTTGGGGTTGGAATTTTCATGGTTGAGGCTGGAATTCTCACGGTTGGGGCTGGAATTCTCATGGTGGGTTGGAATTCTCATGGTTGGGGTTGGAATTCTCATGGAGGATCACATTCAGATTGATGTTCCCAGGATTCCGTGAAGGGCAGGGAAGAGCAGGTTGGGAATGTGGGAATGCTTTCCAAACACTTTCGTCATTGGAATATTCCAGCTTGTCCCATTCCATGGGCAGGGACACCTCCAACCAATCCAGGGTGCTCCAGCCTTTCCTTGGAAATTCCCAAGCGTTCAGGGGCAGCCGTGGCTCTTCTGGGAATCCCAGCCCAGCCAGGAATCCCTTCCCAAGATCCCACCATCCCAAGCTCCCCTTTCCCACTGGAAGCCATTCCCTGCCTCCTGCCCCTCCATCCTTGCCCAAATCCCAGCTCTCCTTTCCCTCTGGAAAAGGCTCCAAGGATTCCCTGGATCCTTCCCTGATCCAGCTGCACATCCCCAGCTCTCCCAGCCTCTCCTCACCATGAGAATTCCAGCCCTGGATGCCCCTAAAGGAACATTCACATCCCTTTCCCTCCGTTTTTCCAGGAAAACCAGGCTCTGGTCCCATGTAAAATCCATGATGGACCTGGCAGGAGATTCCCAGAGTGAATTCCAGAGGATGGACACCCTGATCCCACCTGGAATGTGCCGCTCCCTCCTTGTTCCCATTAGATGGCAGAGCAGGATTTATCCAGAAATTCCCAAATCCCACAGCAGCCTGGGAATTCCCTCCCGCTTCCCAATCCCTGTCTGGGTCTGGCAAAGGATCCGCAGCTCTTCCAAAAGGTGGAGGAGATTCCATGGATAAAACTCAAGGATTTGAGATCGATTTTGAGGAAATTATCCCCGGAATGCAAATTCCAACCCTGCCAGATTCCAAGAGCTGGAATCCACCACAGAAAAGGAAAAAACCCATGGAAGCCACATTTACTTGGGATCTCCAGGGCTTTGGGAATGGGATGGAGCCACTCCCCTTGCTAAGAAGGATCAAAATTGGAGATTCTAAGGGTAAAACTCAAGGATTTGGGATTGATTTTGAGGAAATTATCCCTGGAATGTTCCTGATCCATGGCATGGGTGGAAATCCAGGTCTGGTGTGGGAAACCGTCTTGGAATGGGATGGATCCACTGCCTTTTCTAGGAAGGATCAAAGGTGGAGGATGTTCTATGGATAAAATTCAAGGATTTGGGATTCATTTTGAGGAAATTATCCCTGGAATGCTCCTGATCCAAGTTCCGACCCTAGCAAATTCCAGGAACTGGAAGCACCAATGGAAAAAATTCCATGGAGACTTTTACTTGGGATCACCAGGGCTTTGGGAATGGGATAGACCCACAGCCCTTGTTAAGAAGGACCAAAGGAGGAGATTCTACGGATAAAACTCAAGGATTTGGGATGGATTTGGAAGCAATTAACCCTTGAATCCAAGTTCCAACCCTGCCAAATTCCAAGAGCTGGAATTCTCCAAGGGGAAAAAAAAAGCCATGGAGGAGACATTTACCTGGATCTCCCGAGCTTTGGGAATGGGATGGATCTGCAACACTTAGTTAGGTGGAGGAGATTCCATGGATAAAACTCAAGAATTTGGGATTGATTTTGAGGAAATTATCCCTGGAATGCTCCCGATCCCACTTCCGACCCTACCAAATTCCAGGAACTGGAATCTCCCACAGAAAAAATTCCATGGACACTTTTACTTGTGATCTCCAGGGCTTTGGGAATGGGATGGATCTACAGCCCCTCAAAAGGTGGAAGAGGTTCCATGGATAAAACTCCAGGATTTAGGATTGATTTTGAGGAAATTATCCCTGGAATGCTCCTGATTCACCCATGGGGGCCACATTCATGTGGGATCTCCAGGGCTTTGGGAATGAGATGGACCCACAGCTCCTTGCTAAGAAGGACCAAAGGAGGAGATTCCATGGAAAAAACTCAAGGATTTGGGATTGATTTTGTGGAAATTAACCCTGGAATCCAAGTTCCAACCCTGCCAAATTCCAGGAGCTGGAAGCACCAATGGAAAAAATCCCATGGACACTTTTACTTGTGATCTCCAGGACTTTGGGACTGGGATGGAGCCACAGCCCTTCCAAAGCTGGAGGAGATTCCATGGATAAAACTCAAGGATTTGGGATTGTTTTTGAGGAAATTATCCCTGGAATGCTCCTGATCCCAGTTCTGAGCCTCCAAAATTCCAGGAAGTGGGAGCAGCAATGAAAAATTTCCACCGACACTTTTACCTGGGATCTCCGGGGGTTTTGGGAATGGGATGGAGCCACAGCTCTTCCACAAGTTAAGGAGATTCAATGGATAAAACTCAAAAGGATTTGGGATTGATTTTGCAGAAATTATCCCTGGAATCCAAGTCCCAACCCCGTCAAACTCCAGGAGCCGGAACTGCCCACGGAAAAAATTCCATGGACACTTTTACTTGTGATCTCCAGGGCTTTGGGAATGGGATGGACCCACAGCCCTTGCTAAGAAGGACCAAAGGAGGAGATTCCATGGAAAAAACTCATGGATTTGCAGTTGATTTTGCAGAAATTATCCCTGAAATCCAAGTTCCAACCCTGCCAAATTCCAGGAACCGAAAGCACCCCTGGAATAAATCCCATGGGGTGGCCACATTGTCCGAGATCTCCAGGGCTTTGGGAATGGGATGGATCCACAGCCCTCCCAAAGGTGGAGGAGATTCCATGGGTGAAACTCAAGGATTTGGGATTGATTTTGAGGGAATCATCTCTGGAATCTAAGTGCCAACCTTGCCAAATTCTGAGAGCTGGAACCTCCCACAGAAAAAGAAAAAAATCCATGGACATCATATTGACCTGGATCTCCAGGGCTTTGGGAATGGGATGGAGCCATAGCTCCTGCTAAGAAGGATCAAAAGTGGAAGAGATTCCATGGATAAAACTCAAAGATTTGGGATTCATGTTGGGGAAATTATCCCTGGAATACTCCTGATCCAAATTCCTGCCAAATTTCAGGAACTGGAAGCACCCCTTGAATAAATCCCATGGAAATCACTTCTACTTGGGATCTCCAGGGCTTTGGGAATGGGATGGATCCACAGTCTTTCCTAAGAAGGAACTCAAAGATTTGGGGTTGACGTTGAGGAAATTATCCCTGGAATGTTCCTGATCCAAATTCCAGGAGCTGGAATCCCCCACATAAATAAAACACTGCCACGGTCTCCACCCTCACCTGTAACTCCAGGGCTTTGGGAATGGATGGAGCCACAGCCAAAGGTGGAGGAGATTCCATGGGTGAAACTCAAAGATTTGGGATTGATTTGGAAGCAATTATCCCTGGAATCCAAGTTCCAACCCTGCCCAATTCCAGGAGCTGGAATTCTCCATGGGGAAAAAAACGAAGCCATGGAGGACGCATTGACCTGGATCTCCAGAGCTTTGGGAATGGGATGGACCCACAACCCTTAAAAAGTGGAGGAGATTCCATGGATAAAACTCAAAGATTTGGGGTTGATTTTGAGGAAATTATCCCTGGAATGCTCCTGATCCAAGTTCTGACCCTATCAAATTCCAGGAACTGGAACTACCCCCGGAATAAACTCCTTGGGCGCCACTTTTACCTGGATCTCCAGAGCTTTGGGAATGGGACGGACCCACAGCTCTTCCCCAAGTTAAAGAGATTCAATGGATAAAACTCAGGGATTTGGGACTGATTTTGGAGAAATTATCCCTGGAATCCAAGTCCCAACCCCGTCAAACTCCAGGAGCCGGAACTGCCCACGGAAAAATTCCATGGACGCTTTTATTGTGATCTCCAGGGCTTTGGGAATGGGATGGATCCACAACCCTTAAAAAGTGGAGGAGATTCCATGGATAAAACTCAAAGATTTGGGGTTGATTTTGAGGCAATTAACCCTGGAATCAAAGTTCCAACCCTGCCAAACTCCAGGAACCAGAACCATCCACAGAACAAACTCCATGGGTGCCACATTGACCGAGATCTCCAGGGCTTTGGGAATGGGACGGACCCACAGCTCTTCCACAAGTTAAAGAGATTCAATGGATAAAACTCAGGGATTTGGGACTGATTTTGGAGAAATTATCCCTGGAATCCAAGTTCTAACCGTGCCAAATTCCAGGAACCAGAACCGCCCACGTAAATAAAACACTCTCACGGTCTCCACCCTCACCTGTATCTCCAGGGCCTTGAGGCGGTGCCGGTGGTTGCGCAGCTCCTCCTGGAGCTCGGCGATGAGCTCGCGCAGCTCCAGGATCTGCTGCTTGCGCTCCTCGTTCTCGTGGAGCCAGTAGGAGACCTCGTCGGTGCAGCGGAACAGGTCCGGGCAGCGCTGCTCGTCGCCCTGCGGCAGCGTGGCCACGATGCGGCACCGCCCGTCCGGCAGCACCTGGTTGCTGTATTCCCCACACCGGATCAATCCCGGAGATTCCCGGGGATCCTCGTGCTCCCGGTAGCCGGCGGGAAGGGATTTCCCCAGGGATTGGTGGAGGAGAGCGGCCAGGAGGAGGAGGAGGGAGAGCAAGGCGGATTTTACCGGTGGGAATTCCATTGGGCGGAGCCGAGATGAGTCTGCGGTTCCTGGGAAATTCGGATTTATTTCACACAATTCCGTAAAATTCAGATTTAATTCCTGCAATCCCAAAAAAGATGGATTTATTTCCCACAATCCTGGGAAATTTGGATTTATTTTCTACAATTCCGGAAAATTCAGATTTAATTCCCGCAATCCCAAAAAAGATGGATTTATTTCCCACAATCCTGGGAAATTTGGATTTATTTTCTACAATTCCGGAAAATTCAGATTTAATTCCCGCAATCCCAAAAAAGATGGATTTATTTCCCACAATCCTGGGAAATTTGGATTTATTTTCTACAATTCCGGAAAATTCAGATTTAATTCCCGCAATCCCAAAAAAGATGGATTTATTTCCCACAATCCTGGGAAATGTGAATTTATTTCCCACAATTCAAAAAAATTCAGATTTAATTCCCACAATCCTGAGGAATGTGGATTTATTTCCCACAATCTCAGAAAATTCAGATTTGCTTCCCACAATGTTGGGAAATTCCGATTTATTTCCCACAATCCCGAAATATGTGGATTTATTTCCCACAATCCTGGAAAATCTGGATTTATTTTCTACAATTCCGGAAAATTCAGATTTAATTCCCGCAATCCCAAAAAAGATGGATTTATTTCCCACAATCCTGGGAAATTTGGATTTGTTTTCTACAATTCCGGAAAATTCAGATTTAATCCCCACAATTGTAGGAAATTCAAGTTTATTTCCTACAATCACTGGAAATTTGGATTTCTTTCCCACAATCCTGGGACATTCAGGTTTATTTCCCACAAAGCCAGGGAAATCCAGATTTATTTCCCAAAATCCTAAGAAATGCAGATTTATTTCCCACAATCCCAAAAAATGCGGATTTATTTCGCACAATCCTGGAAAATTCAGATTTATTTCCTACAATCCTGGGAAATTCGGATTTATTTCCCACAATTTCAGGAAATTTGGGTTTATTTCCCACAATCCTGGGAAATGCTGATTTACTTCACACAATCCCGGGATATTCAGACTTATTTCCCACAATCCTGAGAAATACGGATTTATTTCCCACAATTTTGGGAAACTCAGATTTATTCCCCACAATCCCGGGAAATTCACATTTATTCCCCACAATCCTAGAAAATTTGGATTTATTCCCCACAATTTTGGGAAATTCAGATTTATTTCCCACAATCTTGGGAAACGTGGATTTTTCCCACAATCCCGGGAAATTCGGATTAATTTCTGTCAGTCCTGGGAAATTCAGATTTATTTCCCACGATCCTGGTAAATTCAGATTTATGGGATTGGGGATCACAGACCTCCGGTCGGGATCTGATCCCGTGAAATTCCAAACTGGGATTATTTGGGATCCTCTACTCTCTTCGTGGGCTGGAATTCCCCTTTTCCCTCCGGAGCACTTTGGAGGGTGTGGAAATCAGGATAAGGTGAGTGAATTTTTGGGAATTCCAGAATTTTGGAATTCCAGATGCTTGGAATCAGGTGTGGGAAGGAGATGGCTCTCCCAAAATGGGTATCCCGGAATTCCGGTGTTTCCTGGGAATGGAAATCAGAGCGAGGAGACGGAAGATGGGAAATTTTTTGGGAGCAGCATCCAGAGGTGCTGCCAAAATTCCTGGATCCTTCCAGGCATTCCCAAGGAAACACAGCATGGATTAGATCCCACTAAACTTCCCTGTCCCGTTCCAGACATTCCCAAGGTTCCAGGATTAACGGATTAGAACCCCCTCAAAATTCCCAATCCCATTCCAGCCATTCCCAATGATTCAGGACATGGATCAGACCCATCCCAGCATTCCCAATCCCATTCCAGCCCTTCCCAAGGATTCAGGATATGGATCAGACCCATCCCAGCATTCCCAATCCCATTCCAGCCATTCCCAATGATTCAGGACATGGATCAGACCCATCCCAACATTCCCAATCCCATTCCAGCCATTCCCAATGATTCAGGACATGGATCAGACCCATCCCAACATTCCCAATCCCATTCCAGCCCTTCCCAAGGATTCAGGATATGGATCAGACCCTTCCAAACATTCCCAATCCCATTCCAGCCATTCCCAAGGATTCACAATTCATGGATCAGATCCCTCCATCCCAAAATTCCTAATCCCACTCCAACCATTCCCAAGGATTCACCCCACGGATCAGACCCTTCCCAACATTCCCTATTCCATTCCAGCCATTCCCAAGGTTCCCACACCCATGGATTAGACCCCCCTCCAACATTCCCAATGCCATTCCAGCCTTTCCCAAGGATTCAGGATCCCTCCCAACATTCCTAATCCCATTCCACCATTCCCAAGGATTCCCCCCATGGATCAAACCCCTCCCAGCCTTCCCAATCCCAATCCATCCATTCCCAAAGATTCAGGATTCATGGATCAGACCCCCCCCCCCCCCCCACAACATTTCCTATCCCATTCCAACATTCCCAAGGATTCAGCATTCACGGATCAGACCCCTCCCAACATTCCCAATCCCACTCCAGCCATTCCCAAAGATTCAGGATATGGATTAGACTCCCCTCAAAATTCCCAATCCCATTCCCAAAGATTCAGGATGTGGATCAAACCTCTCCCAGCACTCCCAATCCCATTCCAGCCATTTTCAAAGATTCTGGATTCATGCATCAGAAGTCCTCAAAATTCCCAATCCCATTCCAGCCATTCCCAAGGATTCATCCCAGGGATTCAGGACCCCTCCCAACATTCCCAATCCCATTCCAGTCATTCCCAAAGATTCAGGACACGGATTTAACCCCTCCCAACACTCCCTTTATCTTTTTCCGACCTTTCTCCGGATTAAAACCACGGATACGAAACCGGACTCCCCCACAACTCCCACAAATCCCAGAACCCCCACCAATCCCACAAATCCCAGAACTTCCATAAATTCCCGACCCACCTCGGCCTCTCCGGGCCCGTCCAGCGCCGGGGTCCGGCGCGGTGCCCGCGGCGAGCGGAGGCCACGGGATCCTTGATTCCCGCTGATCCTCTCAGGGCTCTAAAAATAGGGATGGGTGAGGCGCCGGCGGGCAGGAGGATCCCGGGAGCCCCGGCCTGACCCTCCCAGCCCCCCCCGGGATTATCCCGGAGCCTCCGGAATATCGGGAAAATCGCGGAGCTCTGATCGGGACGGGCTCGGGGCCGGTGCGGAGCTGCCCCCGCTGCCGGCGATGAATTATTCAGCAGCGGGGCCGCCCCTCCTCCCTTCCCTCCTTCCTCCCCCTTCTCCTCCTCCTCCCTCCCCTCTCCTCCCCTCTGCTCTTTTCCTTTTTCCTTTTTCCTTTTTCCTTTTTCCTTTTTCCTTTTTCCTTTTTCCTTTTTCCTTTTTCCTTTTTCTTTTTTCTTTCCCTTCCCTTCCCTTCCCTTCCCTTCCCTTCCCTTCCCTTCCCTTCCCTTCCCTTTTCCACTTTTTTCTCCCTTTCTCCCCTTTTTCCCCCTTTTCCCTTTCTATTTCCCCTTTTTCACCATTTTTCCCTTTTCCCCTTTTCCATTTTCCCTTTTCTCCTTTTCCATTTTTCCTGTTTCCCCCCTTTTCCCCCTTTCTGCCTTTCCCCCTTTCCCCCTTTTTCTCCTTTTCCCCCTTTTCCCCCTTTTTCCCATTTTCCTTTTCCCTCAGTATTCCCTTTTCCCCCTTTCCCTCCTTTTCCCCATTTTCTCTGTTCCATTTCCCCCCTTTTTCTCCTTTTTCCCTCAGCTTTCCCTTTTCCACTTTTTTCCCCTTTTCCCTCAGTTTTCCCTTTCCCTTTTCTCCCTTTTCCCCCTTTCTTCTTTTCCCCCTTTTCTTCTTTTCCCCTTTCCCCACCCTTTTTCCCCTTCCCCCCTTTTCTCTTTTTCTCCTTTTTCCCCCGTTTCCCCTCTTCCTCATTTCCCTCCTTTCCCCTTTTCCTCTTTTCCCCCCTTTTTCCCCTTTTCCCTTTTCCATTTCCCCCCTTTTTCTCCGTTTTTCCTTTTCCCCCATTTCCCCCTTTTTTCCCATTTTCTCCCTTTCCCCATTTCCCATTTCCCCTTTTTTATCCTTTTTACCCTTTCTCCTTTTCTCATTTTTCCTTTTTCCTCTTTTTGCCCTTCTCCCCATTTTCCCCCTTTCCCCCTTTTCTCCTTTTCCTTTTTCCCCCTTTATCCCTTTTCCCCTCTTTTCTCCATTTTCCTCCTTTTCCCCCTTTTTCCTCCTTTTCCTTTTTTCCCCTTTGCCCCACTCTTCCTCCTTTTCCCTTTCCCCCTTTTCCTGCTTTTTTCTTCTTTTCCCCCTTTTCCCTTTTCTGTTTTTCTCCTTTTTCCCCTTTTCCCTTTTCCTCCTTTTTCTCCTTTTCCCCCTTCCCCCCGTTTTTCTCCTTTTCCCCTTTTTCCCCTCTCCCCTTTCCCCCTTTCCCCCTTTTCCCTTTCCCCCTTTCCCCCTTTTCCCTTTCCAGCTGCAGAAAGTTGGGAATGGGGAAACCGAGGCAGAGCTCCATGGGATCCCGCTGTTCCTAAAAAATCCCAGGAATGTCCCAGAGGAGCCGAGGAAGGAAAGAAAAGGAGGAAAAGGAGGAAAATGGGAATGTGGAAACGAAGGCAACAAAATCGGGGGGAAAAAAACCTCAAAAAATAAAAATAAGAAGAAAAACTTGGGAAAAAAACAGGGAAGGGGAGGAAAATGAAGGAAAATCCAGAATCTGGGAATTCTTTGGGATTTTTAATGAGGAGGGCAGAATCTCAGGGCTCCTCCTGGATCCGGATCTGATCCCGAAGTTCCTTTTCGGCCTCGGGGATGTTCCCACCTGGATCGGGTGATCCCAAATCCTGCTTTGGGTCCAGACCCGCTCCCAGCTCAAACCCGGGACCCCAAGGGAGGAATTCTCCCGCTTTTCCATGGATTTTTCCCATTCCCGGGATCGCTCGGCAGCTCCTCCCCGCTCCAGTCCTTTAGGGGGCAGCAAGAGCTCGGGAATTGCATCCCCTGGGAGCCTCCCGAGGGAGGAATTCCT